AGATGCCACCCACCTTCCTAAGCTCAGATTTCCTAAAACAATGGAACATAAAGAGATTGGATGAACTTCCTTCGTCCCTTGTACTGGAGAGCTCTCCAGCAATTAGCCTCTCTGCAGGAACTAAAACTACCCTTAAAAACTTCATAAATTCTGCCTGAGAGTTTTATTTTCCTAAGCCTAAATTCCTAATACGAGCTGTTTCCTGAAATTAATGACCAGCTGGAGAGAATATGTGTTTGGAGTCTGCATATACACAGGCCGTAGATCCATCTCAGGTCTAGATCCCCTTTTCCTGGGAGTGATATGCTTCTCACAGCCCCTGATATTTCATCATACAGGGTCATCACTAGAGCCGGCCTGGTGGCATAGTGGTTAAGTTTGCACACTCTGCTTTGGTGGCCAGGGGTTTGCTGGTTGGGATCCCAGGTGCAGATCTACGCACCACTTATCAAGCCATGCTGTGGCAGGGCTCCTACATATAAAGAAAGTAGAGGAAGATGGGCACAGATGTTAGCTCAGGGCCAATCTTCCTCAGCAAAAAGAGGATGATTGGTAGCAGATGTTAGCTCAGGACTGATCCTCCTCCTCAAAAAAGAATAAGTTCATCACTAAATTACTCGCTGTCTTTCCCAATAGAGACAGGAATGTTTGATACCATTTCAAGCAGTGAGGGGAAGTGGATGGCAGGGCAGATTGGAGAGGGTGTCGAGCAGGAGGTCTACTTGGCCGAGGCCTCATATCCCAGGGGGCCTTGTATGTACACTCTTAACTTTATCTCCAAATCATGGAATTCATAGAGTCACAAAGATGAATGGGCAGGTTCAAAGATGTTCATTATATCAGTTTAGTGTATACCCCATTAGTAGTCTATGGTGCCTCTAGTATACTATGAATTAATATTTTTATAAATCCTGAATTTCTTGTGAATAATGTTATTACATTGCATTGTTTCTTCATGGGTTAAAAGTGTTGATATATTAAAGGTAAACATTTAAAATATACTACAACTTTTCAAAATGTGTTTTGATATGTCTAGTTGTTTTTAATGAATCCAAAACTCTGGAATCGGTCAAAGTCTCTCTGAAGTTCTGAGAGGTGATGGCAACAGGGTGTACACAAGGAGATGGTCAGCGGAACCATTATAGAGGGAGAGACGTACTCAGTGTGGCCTCTGTTCTCCGAAGCATCTTAGCTGGGGATGGGGCTGGTAGCTCTTTGATCTCTCCCTTGCTGACAGAGCCACATTGGGCTCTCCCTTGAGCTGGCATAAAAGAGAGACCGGATCGCCTTTGAGTGGTTCCTGCCCAACAAAACGCAGACAGATGGGTCTGCTGGGGGAGGAGGTGTCCCCAGCGGCGAGGACTGCTGAACTAACTCTCTGCCTGTGGGCTGCTGTTTCACACCTTCCGTGGTGAGCAAGCAGAGGATGAGTTCAAAGGTACACATGAGGGGCCCCTGGCCCCACTAATGAGTGCTCCAGTGCCATAGCCTGAGAAGCTGAACACACCCTAGACCTTGAGTTGAAGACTTTTAAACGTGTGTCTATGGGTTCATTCTCAGATGATAACTGTACAGTGCAAAATTCTTTTCAATGCCCTGGCACCCTGGGGAGAGGTGTTATTGCTGATGGGAAGGGGGGAGTGCAGGTGGTTAGGCTAAAGAATGAAAAATAGCCAGTTCTAAACTAGTGGTAATAATAGAGCCAAGGATGGTGTATTAATTTCCTATTGCAGCTGTAACAAATTATCACAAACTTAGTGGCTTAAAGCAATATGAATTTATTATCTTACAGTTCTGGAGGTTCAAATTCCAAAATGTATCTCACTGGGCTAAAATCAAGGTGTCAGAAGAGCTGCATTCCTTCTGAGGCTGTACAGGAGAATGTTTCCTTGCCTCTCTGTTTCTAGAGCTACCCACATTCCTTGGCTTGTGGTCCCCTTCCTCCATCTTCAAAGCCAACAACAAGGAGATGAGTCCTTTTCACATAGCATCTTTCTGGTTCTGTCTTCTGATTCCCTCTGACTCGTTTAAGTATCCTTGTGATGACATTGGACCCTCTCACATAACCCAACTTAATCTCTCCATTTTACTTTATTTTCTCCCTGAAGCCCCAGTAGATAGTTGTATATCCTAGTTGTAAGTCACTCTAATTCTTCTATGTGGAATGCCACCAAAGCATGGCTTGATGAGCAGTGTGTAGGGCTGTGCCCAGATCTGACCCAGCAAACCCCAGCCGCCAAAGCAGAGCACGTGAACTTAACCACTCAGCCACGGGGCCAGCCTCCAATCTCCCTATTTTAAGGTTAGCTGATTAGCAACCTAATTTCAATATAACCTTCACTGCCCCCATGCCATGTAATCTACCATATTCACAAATCCCAGGGATTAAGAGGTAGATATCTTTGGGAGGCCATTATTCTGCCTACTACAGATGGCATGTATAAATTACAACTGGAGATCAAGCAGTCTTTCACTAGCAGACACTTACTGAACACTAATTTGCAGCAGAGATATAAACAATAGACATGAGTAGAGAAGGCAGCATGATAAGCAACATGATGGAGGTCTTTGCAAAGGAGGAAAAATGGCTCACTCAGCTTAAAGTGGGACAGGGAAGTCCTCACCCTGAAGATGCTATTTATCCAAGAATCTCGCTTGTTTCCACCACATTCCTGACAACCATATCAGAGCTGCAAAAAAAAAAAAAAAGTGGACAAATGGGCTAATGGGATCATCACCATTGATATTAATTGAGCACTTACTATGTGCCGGGTACTACCTTGGAGTTCCTGATTCGATGGGTCTGGGGTGGGGCCCAGAATTTGTGTTTCTAACAAGTTCCAGGTGATGTCGGTCCTGCTTTGAGACTCACTGGCATGGTGCAATCAGCACAGGCATTGGAGTCAGACCTGGCTTTGAATCTGGCTGTGTCACTTACCAGCTGTGTGACCTTGAGTGGATTCTTAGCTTCTTTAATTTTGCATCTGGAAAATGACAATAATTCACATCCTGTTAGTTGTGAGGATTTTAGGTGAGATAATACATGCAAAATACAAAGCAAAAGACAGACCCCTGGTAGACTTTGGTTTCCTTTCTTTTCCACCAATCTTCACGCTGAATAGAAGATGAACCTCAGGATAAACACCTTCTGGAGGACTGCCACAGGCTCTGAGCTCCGAGGCTTGAGTTAGAAACTTTCCTAGCTAGTTAGATCTAGAACCCCAAGCTGCGGCAATGATAGGAGGAAATGACAGCCTCCTTGTTCTTTCAGTGCATCAGCTATGTTGAACTTTGACCTTTGTCCTCAGCAATCATGTGATTAACAAGATGATGTTTCACAAGAACTTCACCACAGAACCACACTGTGATATGCTCGTGATTCAGGCCTCCCAGAAACCCGGAAAAACCGTCTCATCTTAGGAGAGCCATACTAAGGCCAACAATTCTATTATCCTGGAACTTCTGGTAATAGTGATGGGAAGAGATCTTTAAAAGCATCTGTGGCTACAAAAACATGGGTGATTTGTGAGGACCGAGAAAAGAGCTCAGGGGGAAAAGAAAAGAGCTTAGAAAAAAACTGATCACTTGAATGACTGGATCATTATTTTCACTATTTTTCTTCTTAGGGTAAGCATCATCTCATTTCAGACTTTCCTTTTTTCAGTCATCTATCTGAAACAAAACCAGTGCCAGCGCACTTTGGGTTTGGTGGAAAGTCAGCTTCATTTTTCCCAGAATGAGTCTCATCACTCTGCCAACTTCCTGTTCCCCAAGGCAGCATCAGCTGCTGATCACAACCCTCTTCGCCCAATTTCAGACACATCTGGTAGCTTCATCTTAAGATGCTAAAATCGCCAAAAAGAGCCGTAGACTCTTTGAGATATTTTTTGGTTGTTAAGACAAAACAACAAAATTGGCTTCTTGAATATTTTTAATATTATCTCCTTTGGACACAAAATATATTCCCAGGAGAGTTTGTCTGATAAAATAAAAGCAAGAGGCTGATGTCATGATTCACTAGAAAGATAACCCTTGCAGAAGTAAGCACCCAGGCCCCTGAGTCAGTGCTGATAAACACTTGGCAAACAGGGTTACGAGCATCAGGAAAGCCGGGTATCTATTGTGCAAGTTTGTGAGAAAATTGGAGCTTGAGAAAAGTAAGTCTGAGTCTCTATTTCCTAAACATTTCAGACTCGTGTGTGCTTACACTCACCCAAACACACACACACACACACACACACACACACACACACAGTTTTAAAAGGGTACCCGGAATGTGTTTGAATCAGATATGGTAAGACATGCAGACATGGAAATGACTACCAAGAAGGGAGAAGTTTCATATACTCACAGATTCCTAGAAACAGGAGGCATGACACACAACGCAGGGCCACACAGGGAAGCTCCAGAGTTGGTCAGGAGGCAGAGGGAGTGAGGGGGAAACAGGGGCAAGGGCAAGAGCTTTCATTGTGGCTTTTGTGGGAAGAACAAGTGAGGCAGGGTAAGCAGACTTAGGATTGGCTAGTTTGAATAAATTCAAGGAGTTCTGGGGCATCGGGGCTGTCACTAGTTGTCTGGTACCTGGTTTTGGAGTGACTAGGGTAGGTGGATAGTGGCCCAGAGAGTGAGAATCCAGTAGAGGCGGTGGTTGGGGGTGTGGGCTCTGCATTGGTTGGTTGGCATTTGAAAAGCAGGCTCCTCGGCGAGTTGGTGCTATCTCTTGGAATTAGCTAACCCTGGGAGGGGCAGTCCCTCCAGGGTCAGCAGGGCCCCAACATGTCAAAGCATCAGAGTATGGAAAATAAAAAGACATGATTAATACACACACACAGCTGGGAAATTTTGCAGTGCAATACCCCACGCCAGGCAGCTGTTTAGTTTGGGGATGATTTTGTGTTTTTTCTGTAGACCCTTTATTGGCAGTTTTGACATTGATGCTTTTTCCCCCTGAAAGGGGCTGTTTCAGTAGTGGATGTTGCTGCCTTGTCTCTGCATCACATATTCTGTCACCAGTGTAGTGGTGGGGTGGGAGGGGCGATTGGGGTTTTAGCTTTGCAGGGCCTTCCAGGAGCTGCCTCAGCACTGAAAGAAGTGAGATCTAAATCTAGTGTAAGTCTGATAGGAAAGAAAAAGGCCGCAAAGACTGGGATGAGAATGCTGATGATAGCGATTCCTTATATTACTGGTACAAAAAATTTCAAGGAGTTTAGCAGACGTGTATTTTCTCAATATCCTCAAGAGGCAAATAAGAGGCATATGAGAGCTCCAGTCTTTGTTTTCCAGCACTCACTTCCTTGCCCCATTCTGGTACCACACTCGATTGACTCTGCCTCCTACCAACACCACCACCAAGGTGGCTGTGTGACCCAGGCTGGGCCAATCCCAGTGTCCCATCTTCCTGGCCACATAGACCTTCACCCAAACTGGAACAACCTCAGCCCTTCCTTGGGGTTTCTCTGCTGGTGACTTCAAGGTTCACAGAGCTAGAATAAAACAACAAGAATAATAATAGCTGATATGTGCAGAGTGATTATTAGATGCTGAGCATACTGAAAGCACTTTACATATCTTATCACTTTTAGCTTGATCTTTACACCACCCTATAAGGTATTATGATTATCCTTATAATAAGAGGAAACTGAGGCATTAAGACAATTAAAGAATTTGCTCAAGGTCATCTTCTGAGTGGCAGAGCCAGGATGCTGCCTGAGGCTGTCTGACTCCTGAACCCCAGCTCTGAACTACTACTGTCTATTTTCTCTGGAATGGCTGGCAGCTGCGTTCTCTGCCGTTTGGGGAAAGCTGATATATGGTAGAAGAGAATAAACTGTTTCCCATTAGGAATTGTTTTCAGCTGCATATAATAGAAAACCCAAATAACATAAGCTTAAACAAGATTTAGGGGTTTATTTTTCTCTTACATAATATGAACTGCAGAAGGAGGCAGTCCATGGCTAGGATGCAGTCTTTCAACATCATCAGGGATGCAGGCTCTTTCTATCTTTCTTCTCCTCTATCCTTAGTACATAGTTGCCATCATCAAGTTGCCTCATCATCCAAGATGGCTGCTGGAGTTCCAACCATCAGGTTATGATTCCAGGCAGGAAATAGGAAGAATGGAGAAAGGAGGAAAATGGTGGTTATAGCAAGAGAGTCAACTCTTGAAGCCCCACCCTATACCTTTTTCTTATATCTCTCTGGTCACTCTGGACTGAAGGGAACTGGGAATAGTCTTTAAGGTGATGTTCCTAAGGAAGGAGGGAGGAAGAGGTAGCAGCTCTCAGTCTTTGCCACAAAGTCAGATATGTTCTAAGAGGACATTAATGAGCAAGCTTCCATATGCCCAACTCACTAACTCATAGTTGCAAAATTGAGAAAAGACTCATCTTCTGAACCCCAGCCCGGGGAATTTATCATCATGCCAAGAGCTCACCTTCTAAAGGTGGCAGCCAGTGTTGAATCTGCCATCCTTTTAACCTCAGGAAAAGCTGACAAAATTTAGCAGAATCCACCAGCATTCCATCTTATCTTGAGTCTTGTAGAAAGCCTAATGCAGGAGAACTAGCTTGTTAGAAATGAAATATGCAGCAGGTCGATGTCAACTTTCTCCAGGGCCTGCCAGAGATAGTGCTGACTGACATCCCAGGCAAATGACAGGAGCTGGCTTTGAAGTTTTGTTGCATATCCCAACTCAGCAAGGACTTAGACTGCCAAATCCATTCTATAAGCAGTTATCAAAGGCCCCCAGAGCAAATGAAAATGCTTCACTCACAGAGTCAAATAGCCCTTATAAACAGGCCCTGAAGTTGGACTTCTCTCTAAATTTATGAGAGCAGTGAATTTATATTATTTCATATATCAAATAAAAATGGACAGTGCTGTGACATTTATAAGACCCTTTCCCTCCTGTGTTATTCTTTCCTCAATGTATATTCATACGTACACAGCATAGACTTGCCCATTCTGTAGGAAACATATCAAGAACGCAAGGGAGAGAGCATGGCTGGTAATTAACCCTAAACATCTCTCTGTCCTTATAAGATGGAAGAAGGCCTGATCCTTCGCCGATGTGCACACCCCTACACGCACATTCAGTTGGTCTTTAAGCCAGTCCCTACACACCCCACGAGCTTTTTTTGTTTCTTTCTTCATTTTTGCTTCCATGACCTTGCAGATGCTCTCCCCCTGCCTAAAGCACTTCTCTCCACCTTTCAGTCTGATGACCTTCAGTTTGTCCCTCAAAACTCCACTTAGATGTCACCTCATCTGAGAATGCTAAATTCTAAATTCCCAAAGACTCCCAGAACAAATTCATTGCTCTTTCTCCTGTCCCATGCAAGTACTTAGCACAATTATCATAAATTGTGACATTTCTTTTCTTGTCTGTCTCCCCGACTAGACCGTGAGCTCACCAGCAGGAACTGTCTTACTTATTTCTATATTCAGTGCTGGGTACACGGTACGTGCTTATGAATGTGGTTGGATTTTAAAATGAATTGAGTTGGACAACAGTTCTCATCTATACTGGTTTTCCCTGAACTTATGACCCCATGCGATTGTTTTCCTCACTCAGATGCTTTTGCTCCTCTAGGAATTGTGTGAAATCTTACAGTGCTCAAGTTGCCCCATTTGCCTGAGATACTAGGTGCAAAATTCTGAAACCTTCAAACTCTGATGCCAGGAAATCCACTTTCCTCTTTGCGCTCTGGTTATTTTTAGTCAGCTTCTCTAATTCTTCTCAAGTGTGAGAAACTGTGAAAGAGGGAAATATGTCTTCTAATTAAGCAGTTACAGATAAAAATTTTAATTAATACTCCCTATCTGGTCCAGGAAAACAAAGAGGCTATTATTGGATCAGAAAAGTTCTGTAAGATATTCCTTATCTCTAAGTCAGATTGGCAAACTCTGAGCTCTCCTGGACCCTGTGGAGTGTGGCTGGGGGGCTATGGGTGGGTGGAATGGAGGACTGAGTGAGTGTGTTGGCAAAGGACAATTGAGGGAGGGTGGGCAGGATGCCTGGACCACATATGGTTCATGTACAAGGTTATTGGACTTAATTTTGGGATCAAATTGTATATGGTTATGGATATAAGGAGTCCAGTTTTGGAGTTAGCTAGGTGAAGGTTTGAATGATGGTTTGGTCAATTACTAAGCTTGGCTAATTATTAAGCTTGTGAGCTTGGGCATATTCTTTACTGGACCTCAGTTTTATCTGTAAAATGAAGGTGTAATATTCACAGGGTACCTGCTGGGATGCAGTGAGCTTATCCCTTTAAAATATCCAGCAACGTGTAACTGGAACATAGTGAGCTGAGTGTTAATCTCCTTCTTTCCCCTTTGAAAGACTTGGGGCAAGAGAGGCAGAGATCGTCATCTCTGATTGCTCTCCAGCCCACCCCTCTCCCAGCAGCTTTGGAAGAAAAAGGAGACTTGCTGTTTGGGGTCATTGTATAGAACCAGTGTGTGCAATTTCCTTCATTCAGCAAATATTATTCACTGAATATTTAATTATGAATTGGACTATAGTCCCTTCTCCCAAAGAACTCACAGTCTAGAGAGAAAGACAGATCAGTAAGAAGTTAAGATTTTATCCTAAGGGCAATAGACAGCCATTGAAGGTACAGTCATACAGACAGACAGTGTATAGAACGGATTGGAGACAGAGAAATGTGTTGGCAGTACAGGTGGATGGTATTTGCAGCCTGAGGGGAGGACTTGTGGTGAAGGAGTTGTGGAAGAAGAGCGGTTAAATCAGGTGTGCTGATTTAACACATTTTAAAGAGGTAGAGTTGACAAACTTGGTAGATTGGAGGTAAAGGAAGTGAGGAAGGGGAGGAAATTTGGACTCTTTTACCAAGATAGGAACGCAAGGGAAGGAGCCTTTAATGGAAGCTGGGAAGAGGGGTGATGAGTTCAATTTTAGACATTGAGTTTGAGATCCTATGGGACCTCCAAATAGAGATGTCCAGCAGACAAATGGATGTGCAATTCTTAAACACAGTAAAGAGATGTGGGGTACAAGCTGAGACTTAGGAGTCAGAATATAGATGGTAGATGATCTGATGAGATTATCCAAGAAGGATATGTAGATTGACTAAGCCTTTGATCAGAAAATCTAACACAATTTTTCTTTATGGCTTTTAATTACAAGGTTGACTGTGTCTTTGTGGCCTAAGGTTATGTGGCTAAAATATGAGCAAAGAGTAAGCCACAAACTCAGGAACAGGACCCCACTATAGTTTCAAGAACTCATACTTGTTCTTTATGGTTCAAAGATAGTGGCTCTCCCCTGGTTCTCTGGGTCCCTTTTCCCCAAATATGTTTTTATTTGACTAATATTCAGAGAAAAGCCAGAGATGCAAATGAGCTGATGCATGGCAAATATAACTGTCTCCATGACCCAGATTTCCACAAAGTAATTTAAGGTACAAGTAAGTAAGGGGAAATAGTATGAGGACAGGACATTGTCCTAACTTGAAGGTAACCTGGCCCTTCTCCCAAATTTCCTAAAAGATACAATGTTGTTTACCCTGATATTTCCCAATTAGGTCTCTGGTTTTCACCATTCAATTCAATGTGATCATAGCATGTATTTCCTAGGTGCATGGCACTAGGTCTGCCTGGGCCATTTGGCCATGAAAATAGCATATAGTCAAGTCTCCTGGGCAGAAGCAGCGTTTCTCATCTTGAATTATGTATAGTCTTGAGATATCCTCTGGGATCAAATTACGCAGTAAGATATCCACCTGAGCGCCATGCTCTCTTCTTGGCCAAAGGAATCTGTATGGGCATTTTTACAATAGCCATATGTCTAATGATTGCAAATCTTGACGTATGAGTCACTGAGGTAGCTAAGAAAGCTAACGTTGGTAGGCCTATTCACTGAAGTATCTCAAGTCCAGTATAAGGAAATATAGTGTACCCTAGACACAGAGTCACAGTCTCATACAATGACTACATACTGGTCAGAAGTACTGGCTCTGGAGCTAGACTGACTGGGTTTGAACTGTGGCTTCAATGTCTATTAGCTGTTACCCTGGGCCTCTGTTTTCCAGTCTTTAAAATTGAAATAATGATCGTGCCCACCTCATTGGGTTATTGTGAGAATCAAATACATGTAGAGTGCTTAAATCAGTGTCTGGCACATAGCAGATGCTCAATAAATGCTAGGTATTATTATTTATATTACTATTTCGAGATCTTTCTAGAAAGAGGATAATGTGCTTATACTTGTCTCAGTCTCACATAGTCATCTAAGGAAAACAGAAATATGGAGGTAGTTAAGAAAAGGTGCATGGGAGTATGTCATGAAGTCAACACAGAACAGCTGGAGTCGGAACACTCACTGCACACGATCTGGTTGGTGACATCTTGCAGAAGCTAAAAGCATCAATGTGTTATGAAAAGGTCCAGAGCACTACTCAGAGTCCAGTTCGCTCTGACCAACCACATTCTAATGACCTGGGTGCAAATGAGTCAAAAACACATGGACTAGATTTCCTGTTGAATACACTTGGGTTTAAAAATTGAGGGGGAAGGAGCACTTGCCAAAATGCATTTCGTAATAATCACTGTAATAATGAATGGTTCGCTGAGCCGGAAACATCAATGGATCATCTGTGATGCTCATTAAACCCACGAGGCAGCAGGTTGAAATACTCAGGAAATACTTAGAAAGAGATCAAAGAGGTTCTGTCCCATTGGCGCTTGAGTTGAAATATGAATAGATTTGGGGAGGAAAAAGAAGATGTTTCCTAACTCTGGTCAGGAGCATGGCACCAAGAAAGAGAAAAAAAGGTTGCAAAGGTGACCACTCGCTTCTCTGGACTGATGGCAGGGTCGCATATTGGGAGACTCGATCCTGCGCCACTTCTTCCCTAGTTAGCTGCTGGACCTCGGACAAGTTCCTTCCCCTCCGCAAGCCTGTCCCCTCGTCTGCAGAGTGGGGATTCTCCATACGATGTCCTCTAAGCTCCCTTGCCATCCTAACATCAGCAGGAATTTTTGGCAGAAAATAGGGACTTGAATCCTCTTAGTGTTTAGCAAGCAAATACCATGTCTAAATCAGAAAAATTGTTCGATATTTGAAGATTTGGAAGAGAAGAATATTCAAGAAGAGAAAACATTCCTATAATAGAAGATTTCTGCTTTTGCCAATTGACTACCTCACCAAGGAAAACTGGAAAACTCACTTCAGACAGGAATGCTTTAACAAGGCAGTTTTGGCCCAATCTCCTGCTGGTGTGTCAACATCAGTTTTCGCTGATGAGCTTTGACAGGAGTAGAAATACTAAAATTGAGATGCGCCAAACACACACTTTAATTGAACTGCAGATGTCTGGATGAAAAAAATCGATATCCATCCAAAGCCAAATATCCTAATCAGAGGATACACTTCTGGGATAATCACCATAAATCTAAATGATTAGTATTATAATTATTATTATAACTTCATTGCTTAACCTTTTATTAGCTAAATTTTACAAATTTACCATTGAGATTTGAAGCAATAACTTCCGAGCTTTATCAGTTGCTAGATTGTTTCTG